TTCTTTCCTTTTATTCTTTTTTTTTTTTTTTTTTTGAAACAGAGTCTCACTCTGTCCCTCTCCTGGGCCAGAGTGCAGAGGTATCATCATAGCTCATTACAAATTCAAACTCCTGGGCTCAAGTGATCCTCCTGCCTCAGCCTCCAGACCACCAGACCCAGCTAGTATTTCCTTTTTTTTTTAATAGAGACAGTATCTTATTTGCTTAAGCTGGCCTCAAACAATCTTTCTGCCTCAGCCTCCTAGAGTCTAGGATTATAGGCAACCTCAAACCCCTGGGTTTAAGCAATCCTCCTGCCTCAGCCTCTCAAGTAGCTGGGACTCCAGGCATGTGCCACTATGCCTGGCAAATTTTTTAATTTTTTGTAGGGACAGTGTTTCACTAGGTTGCTCAGACTGGTCTCAAACTTTTGGGCTCAAGTAGTCCTCCTATCTTGACCTCCCAGGGCAGCATGGGCAATAGAGCAAGATCCCAGTCTCTAAAAATAAAAATGAATCTTATCATTCATTTCGACCTATAGGTGCCTACAGCTCAGTGGGTAGGGCACCAGCCACATGCACAGAGGCTGGTGGGTTCAAACCTGGCCTGGGCTTGCTAAATGACAACTGCAACAACAACAACAAAAAAAATTAGCTGGGCATTGTGGCAAGTACCTGTAATCCCCGCTACTTGGGAGGCTGAGGCAAGAGAATCGCTTAAGCCCAAGAGTAGAGGTTGCTGTGAGCTGTGACACCACAGCACTATACCAAGGGCAACATAATGAAACTCTGTTTCAAAAAAATAAAAATAAACCTTATTGACTTGGCGCCTGTGGCTCAAGTGGCTAAGGTGCCAGCCACATACACCTAAGGTGGCGGGTTCGAATCCAGTCAGGGCCCGCCAAGCAACAATGATGGCTGCAACCAAAAAATGGCCAGGCGTTGTGGCGGGCGCCTGTGGTCCCAGCTACTTGGGAGGCTGAGGCAGGAGACTCGCTTGAGCCTAGGCGTTGGAGGTTGCTGTGAGCTGCAATGCCACAGTACTCTACCCAGGGGGACAGCTTGAAGCTCTGTCTCAAAAACAAACAAACAAAATAAATAAATAAATAAACCTTACCTTATGTGGTAATTACTCATTCTAGAGTAAGAGCCTTCATTTTATTAAAGGATTCTCCTCCCAATATCTTTTTGTTGTTATTGTCGGGTTTTGTTTTTTTCTCCTGAGGATGTCTTTACAAGTTTAGACATATAAACATGTTTCCAGAAAATAGGATATTATTTTTTGTTCTCTAGAAACATCTATACCAAACTAATAATTACGGCTGCCTCTTGGATATAGGAATTATATTATTATTGTCTTTTATTCTTATAATAAGGGCATATTACTTTTATTATCCTGAAAAACATATTTTAAAGTTCCTCCAGGGCAAATTTAAAAGCCTTAAATTTTAATACTAGGATTCACATTTCATTTTAATGAAAATGCCTGCTTATGCCTTTTACTAAGCATCTATGGAGTGCCCAGCAGTATGCTAAGAGAATTCCAGAGTAAAACTCCTTTTCTTATGGAATCCAAATCTTTTTTTTCTTTTTTTGCAGTTTTTGGCCAGGGCTGGGTTTGAACCCAGCATCTCCAGCATATGGGGCCAGCACCTCACTCGTTTGAGCCACAGGCACCACCTTGGAATCCAAATCTTAATGGCAAGATTCATAGGCATCTGGCCATGCACCGTGGGTCACACCTATAATCCTAGCACTCTGGGAAGCCAAGGAGGGTGGGTTGCTTGAGCTCAGGAATTCAAGACCAGCCTGAGCAAGGGTGAGACATCTGTCTCTACTAAAAAATAGAAAAAACTTTAGCCAGGCATCATGGTGGGTGCCTGTAGTCCCAGCTATTTGGCAGGCTGGGGGAGGAGGATCACTTGAGCCCACGAGTTTGAGGTTGCTATAAGCTATGATGAAGCCACAGAACTCTACTCAGGGCAACAGAGTAAAAATATATATATATATTTGTAGGCATCTTTGCAATAAGTAGCTAATATATATACGACAAACTCTTTTTTTTTTGAGACAGAGCCTCAAGCTTTCCCCCTGGGTAGAGTACTGTGGCATTACAGCTCACAGCAACCTCCAACTCCTGGGCTCAAGCGAGTCTCCTGCCTCTGCCTCCCAAGTAGCTGGGACCACAGGCGCCCGCC